GGGTGCGTGGGTGGGGGGGTGTCTGGGTGTGTGTGTGTGCGCGCGGGGGTGTGTGTGTGCAAGCGCCCCTGTGGCGGTGTCCCCGCAGCGGCGGAGGTAACGCGGCGGCGGTGTGTGTGTCCGTGTGTGCCCGCAGGGGGCTGCGCGCTGCGGCCGCAGAGCCAGCCGTCGCTGGAGCGGTGCGCGGCCCTGCTGGGGCTGGAGGAGGAGGACCTGCGGGGCAGCCTCACCAGCCGCGTCATGCTCACCACGGCGGGGGGCGCCAAAGGAACGGTCATCAAGTGAGTGCGGGCCCGGGACGGGAGGGGGGGACAGGCGGACACCGCACACACACACACACACACGGCCTGGCCGTTACGCCGAATCACATGGGGTTGGCAGGGACCTCTGGAGATCGTCTCCTCCAACCCCCCTGCCTCAGCAGGTCCATCCAGAGCAGGTCGCACAGGGTCCAAACTAGGCAGGTTTGGAATGTCTCCAGAGAAGGAGACTCCACCACCTCTCTGGGCAGCCTCTGCCAGGGCTCTGCCACCCTCAAATGGAAGAAGTTCCTCCTCATGTTTAAGTAGAACTTCTTATGTTCAAGTTTGTTCATTCCCTTTTCTCCTGTCCCTGGACACCACGGAAAAAAGCCTGGCCCCATCCTCCTGACACCCTCCCTTTTAGTATTTAGAGGCATTGATCAGATCTTCCTTCAGTTTTTCCTTCTCCAAACCAAAAAGACCCAAGTCCCTCAGCCTCTCCTCATAAGCGAGATGCTCCAGGACGTTCATCACCTTTGTAGCCCTCTGCTGTCCCCTCTCCAGCAGTTCCCTGTGCGCCAAAGGAACGGTCATCAAGTGAGTGCGGGCCCGGGACGGGAGGGGGGGACAGGCGGACACCGCACACACACACACACACACGGCCTGGCCGTTACGCCGAATCACATGGGGTTGGCAGGGACCTCTGGAGATCGTCTCCTCCAACCCCCCTGCCTCAGCAGGTCCATCCAGAGCAGGTCGCACAGGGTCCAAACTAGGCAGGTTTGGAATGTCTCCAGAGAAGGAGACTCCACCACCTCTCTGGGCAGCCTCTGCCAGGGCTCTGCCACCCTCAAATGGAAGAAGTTCCTCCTCATGTTTAAGTAGAACTTCTTATGTTCAAGTTTGTTCATTCCCTTTTCTCCTGTCCCTGGACACCACGGAAAAAAGCCTGGCCCCATCCTCCTGACACCCTCCCTTTTAGTATTTAGAGGCATTGATCAGATCTTCCTTCAGTTTTTCCTTCTCCAAACCAAAAAGACCCAAGTCCCTCAGCCTCTCCTCATAAGCGAGATGCTCCAGGACGTTCATCACCTTTGTAGCCCTCTGCTGTCCCCTCTCCAGCAGTTCCCTGTCCTTCTGGAACTGGGGAGCCCAGAACTGGTCCCAGTGCTCCAGCTGGGGCCTCCCCAGGGCAGAGCAGAGGGGCAGGATGACCTCCCTCCACCTGCTGCTCACACTCTTCCTGATGCCCCCCAAGATGCCATTGACCTTCTTGGCCACAGGGGCCCATTGCTGGCTCATGGGCATCCTGTTGTCCACCAGGACTCCTAGGTCTTTCTCCTCAGAGGTGCTGTCCAGCAGATCAGCAACCAAGTGTCCCCTGACCCCAGCCCAGGTCCGGCCTCACCATCTGAGGTAACCCCTGTCCCCCTACCCAGGCCCTTTGGGATCTGCCACCTCATGCTTTTCATGGGGAAAGGGAACGATTTTATTTTACTGGCCATTTTAGATGGCCTCAAACCCCTGCTTCACCGTTTAAGCGCAGGTATTTAAAATACTGACTCGAGGAGCAACTGTGGGAGCCCTGCACAGCCCCCATGGCAAGAAGGATGCACCCTGGTACCTTCTGAAATACTTAGGCACAGTATTAGTTAACATTGCTTGATACAGTGTCTATTAAATCTATTAGCATCTCTAATTTTCACAGTACTCCGTGTCCAGCAGACCAGCAAGTTTACGTTGCTGGTCCCCTCAAAACAGAAACAACGTGCTGTGCTTTTCCATCATGCAAGCATTAGTTTTGATATGACAAATTTTAGCACAGCTTTGTTTTGTTTTGTTTTTTTCTTTAAACCAGTTGATGCAAATGCACATTTTTAGATGCTCAGGCTTGCTTATTTCGTTCTTGTTTTTTTACAATGTCTGAATAAAATGGCCCTTTTTTTTTTTCAGGAACAGAACAGCTTTGAGTAAGCCACTCTCACATTTTATCAAACCTCTCAAATGTCACTGAGTACACTGTGTGGCCAAAGAAGGTACAGCAGCCAGCCTGTTAAATCCATAACCTACACAGAAAATTAGAGATGCTAATGGATTTAACAGATGCAGTGTATCAAGGAATGTTAATTAATACTGTGCCTAAGTCTTTCAGAAGATACTTGGATGCATCTTCTTTGTCACAGGGGCTGCACAGTGCTCCCAGAACTGCTGCCCTGGGATATTAGGTTTGGGATGCTCTAATGAGAAGAGTAATAGATGACCCTTCTCAGTGTCTGTGTGATCAGTGTCCCTGTGTTTACCACACCTAATTCTTCTGAAATCAAGTTTCAGCTTCAAAAGCAGCACCACAGGTGTTAATCCAGGAACACGCTGCTTCTTGCTGGTAAAAAACATTTAACCTTGACTGCAAAGTTACTGTTGTGTCAGAGAAGCATAAAAAATAACAGGATAAATTTCAGAGAAAGGTTTGGATTTTATTCTGTAGCTATTAAGAACACATCCCTGTTGAGGTAAATAGTGAACTTAAAAAAAAACCCAGTGATTATATTTTTTTTTTTTTTTCATTAGCTTACATTTTGACAAGAAGCTATGGTCCAGGTGACTTCCTGGGCACAGAAATAGCATAGTGATTTCTTTCTGCACACACGTGGAGAAGGAATAACTGCTGAGAATGTGTTTGAACATGGCATTGGTGATAACATTTCAATAGTCTAGAAGTTACAACTCTTGTCAAATGGAGTTTTATGAAAATTATTTTGCTACAGTTGCCTGTTGCTTACAAAAACCCTCTGGCTTCCACCACAAATTCTCTCTTGTTGAGATTGACCCTTGGAGCACACCAGCTGGCAGGGGCGCTGGCAAATTGTGTATTTACGTTTTAATTATTAACGTTTGGTTTTCTATGTTGTTAATTTCCTGGAGTTGGAGAAAACACCGCATCAAAAGGGAACTTGGGCTAAACAATCTTGAGCATGTTAAAAGTAATTCTCAATGTTTAGCTGAATGTATCAATCTTTTAATTAGGAAGCTAATTAATATTCACTTTGCTGATTGGAAGGGTGCTTCTTACTGACTTAGGAAACAATCAGATTGTTCTGGTGAATCAGAAATACAACTTCATGCATATTACACCAGAAGTTTAATACAGAAAAGCCACAATTAATTACCTGTATTGATGTGGTTTGTGTAAGTTGCTTGCGTATTTTGTGCCTGTTGAAATTTGTTACTGTTATTTATATTTGTCTTTTAGTATGAAGTATTTGTTAACATTTCATAAACTTGTGGGCTGGAAGGACGTAGCAGCTGGTTGGTTTAACCTTGGTGTGTCCCTGTGGCCAGTGAGGGTGGCAGCTGTTGGTTACAGCACGCTTAGGTTATGTCAGACTTCTGAGGTGAAAAGTTGATCTTTGAGCACTTGAGAGCATTGGCTTTTTTAGTCCTCGAGGGATGTAATGGATTTGAGTAATTGAGGTTTCCACTGGTCGAGAGCTCATTCTGTGCAAGAGAAGTAATCTTGAGCTCCACCTCGTTCTACCCAATAACGATAAATTAAAAGAGAATAGCTGTAGTGGAAACACTGTTCAGTGCCTGCTTCCTAATCTCCAGGGCAAAACCAATCATCCTGGCTAAAATTTGAGCACAATGAACCGTCAGTGACAGCCTATGCTGTTTGAACATCATGGGGTTTTTTAGGGGACTGCAGAAGCTCTCCTGAATTAATTAATATTCAGGAGTCTTAGCATGGGTACGGGCTGTTAGTGCTGTGCCAGTAATGTGCTACTACCCAGTAGCTGAGCTTTGAGGGATATTTCTAGACAGAACAGACAAGTAGACTTCTTGGTGATCTCCTTATTTCTGTACTTTGAAAGAACAGATGTTCAAGAGTTGGAACTTCATAGTGACTACTGTGGAAAAAGTTATAATGCAGTGACAAATGGTAACGATTGGGGAGGGGTGATGCTGTCTTCAGGTAAAAGCTCAAGATCTACATCTCTTCATGATATTTTCAGTTATGCATTTGTGGAAAGTTATTATAAATTCCTCCTCTTGCTCGTAGTTATTGGAAATTGGGGACTCTTAGTCACTGTTATTTTGCTGCCTTATCAGCGGATATGGGAAGTTACAAATGCTTTTTATAACAACCTTTAGGTGTAGGAAGATGTGTGTCTTGCAGGACATTATTTTCCAGGTTTGACTTTCTGTTCTCTTCCAGACCATGTCCAAGTTGACAGCAAGATCTTTGATGTGTTCATCCAGGAGAACCTTTATCAGTATTATGGATAACATTAGAGTAGAGAATTCTCTATGATACAGTACAGGTGGTACTCATGTTAATGCATGGAAGTATGAGAATTGCAGGTTTTGAAAGTTAGTAACATTTTTGACTCAATTCAGCTTGTGATCCACTGTAACTGCTGATCTTTCTCTCTTACCTGCTTACCTGGTTATTCTCTATTTTGCATGTGACTTTTTGAATTCTCCCTAAGTATACCACCACCACACGCTTTTCCAGTACTGAAATCTATCTTGTGGATTTTTAGATCGTATCTTCAATTTGTGAAAATAACTTTGTATGCTAATCTCATTACCAAGATTTTCTGCTTTCTCAGTTCGGTTTTTGAAAATCCCCTTACTTTCCTGTCCTGGTGACAGGCTTAATTTAGAAGCAGAAGGGGTCTGAAGAAGTCACATCCATGTCAGATTGGGGTGGCACCCCCTGGAAATGCTCTGGGTGAGCTGTTGACTCGGCCTCTGGGCACAGATTGGTTTTGGCTGTTGTACATATAACGTAGAGATAAAGGGGGTCTGGGTAGTTCCCTTTTGAGACCATTTGGTGAGACATACCAAGCACTAAAGCAAAGGTGTATCATAAGGTACTGCTTCCCTTTCATTGCATCTCAGGTCACCCTGCCAAGGAAGGTTTCTTAAGAGCAAATACAATTTTTGTTACAGCTTCAAATTCACTTTGTATTAAGACCTTAAAGCTTTTTTCTGTTGAGCATGTTTGTCCTGATAAGCCCGGGGCGTTGCCAGCAGCG